GCCATTATATTTACCCAGTCATACTGCAACAAAGTATCATTTGTTATCATCATAGATTTTCTATTTTTGCTCTACTAATAAAATACAACAACTTTTAATCTATGTAACAAAGTCACAACACTGGTTTATAACATTGATATACTACTGCCTTACTACACTGATTTATTATATTAAAATGTTATCAAGTTTTACTTCGCTACTACACTGTTCTGCTGTCGTGAAATGTTATTACCAAGTTTTACTTCGCTACTACACTGTTCTACTGTCGTGAAATGTTATTACCAAGTTTTACTTTGCTACTACACTGTTCTACCATATTGAAATGTTATTACCAAGTTTTACTTTTAGTGTAGTAGCAAAGTAAAACTTGGTAATAACATTTCAATATGGTAGAACAGTGTAGTAGCAAAGCAAAACTTGGTAATAACATTTCACGACAGTAGAACAGTGTAGTAGCGAAGTAAAACTTGGTAATAACATTTCAATATGGTAGAACAGTGTAGTAGCTTCTACCATATTGAAATGTTATTTCCAGGTTTTATTTGGCTACTACACTCTTCTACTATATTGAAATATTACCAAGTTAATTTTGTACAGGCGCAAACTGCTGATATTTTAAATGCTTGAACTCCTACAACAATTACAAAACCAAGTTTCTACGATGCTTCACAGCCTACGTGTTTACCAAGATAATGGTTTTCAACCTAGAGAAAAGTAATATAGAAACCCATGAAAAAATTACTGCTGCTCATGCAGCTTTATTTATAGTTTGTTTATGAAACTTCTTCCAGTCACTTAAGAGTACAGTATTTTTCATATAGATCAATATTTTTTTTATCTTTACTAATTGTTTTAGCAGATTTCGAGTTTATTTTTGATTAGTTGAGATTGCTATATTTTTACTTATCTTAGTTTTGTATTTTTTATGTACTTGTTCCTTAATAAGTAAATAAATAAATAAATATATATATGTGTGTGTGTGTATTAAGGAACAAGTACATAAAAATCATACTCTTCCTGTGCAAAATAAAAAGTATTTAATGGTGCACTGCAAGAGACTGTAGTGTTTTGTTGTCTACACCATTTGAGAAAAAACTGTTCCTTTTTTTATCGTTTATTCGGCCTGGTTAGTAGTTAATGTGCTGGGTTGCAGACTGGTAGGTCCAAGATAGGAACTGCAATATGCTTCTGAACATGATCTGCATTTCCAGCTTTGGGGGCCTTATAATGTTATAGTTAATTTCACTTTTCGGTTTAGAGAGGCTGCATATTAAGGGGCGAGTGCAACTAATTGATTGTCTTCCCTCTGATCATCAGTTTTAAACTGGGGATGACTACGCCTGAATGACTACGATGAATTTTGGGGTTTCTGACCTGATGTTTTACTCCCTGTGTCATATAAAGTGTAGTTCAAGTTGAAAACACCAAATGTCTTTTTGATTGTTATGAAGACGGGAAAATTTGCATATCTAATGCAGTTTTAATGTCATTTATAAATTTTTGTTTGTTAGTGGCTATTATCTGTCAGCTTCGTTGAAAACAACTGTTTTTAGTACCACATTTAAAAGAAGAAATTTTAACGAAAATATTTCTTGATTGCATATTTATCTTTTTTTTCTATCTTCAAGTAACTTGTTTTCTATTAAAAAAATCACGATCCTAGAATCTTATATTTAATTTTGAATTGTAACAAAAGTAATTTTGTTCACTTCCTTTCTCTATCGGAAATTGTCTGGTGGACTGGTATGTAAATGTAAATCCATCGAATATTCAGTTGATTGAGAAAGGTTTTAATATACTGCGTTGAATGGTCTTCGGATCATATATGTTTTCAGATTGGAAGAGTCCTGAGCAGACCACAAATCGATTCAACACAAAATATTGAAGCTGGTTGTGTAAAGACTTAAAAAATTACTTTGGTGTACATCGTGGTGTTGGTTGTGGCGATAAAACGTGTGTGAATTTTGTCATTGACATCTTGTGTTCTTTCGATCCAAAAATGATAATCATCATATAACTCCAATACTTGAACACTCTGTAATCGTACACAGTTCAAACAAACACAGCCTGCAACCAGAAATGAGAGATCAAACTGTATTGGGATTAGCACTTTTTACCTACTAGTCTTTGTGGAGCGGTATTGATGGGAATGCCGGACATGGCACTCCGGACACTTGCCGTTATCTCCATCTCTTGCATTCCTTTTCTCGGCCTCACTCGATAAATGGTCTTTCACTATCGAACATAGCCCCTTTCAACGAGCCAATTTCCTGAAGAAGTGAGGTATTGTTTTCCTCTGTGGCTTTCATCTTTCTTGTTTCTCTCACTGAATTGAGATCAAGATTAACAGTCGAGTACTTCTTGTACGAAGACACCCGATGTCGCTCTTTAATAAGAACCTTTCTTCTGTCAATAAATCCTGATCAGTTTATCCGGATTGGTCGAGATCTCGTTGAAGGAATTCGGGCAATAAGCGGAGATAATTCTCGCAGAATAATTCTTCTAATGTTTGCTAAACTTTGTGCTTTTGTTCTGTTTGTTTAAACAATACCAACAAGCTGGAACAAAAATATATATCAAAAGCTCTTATTTCTTTGTGCGTGTTTCTTTTGAGATTTTTACTTAGTGTAAATACACATAATTAAGTGATTGCAATTTCTATGACAGTTTCTTTAATTTCTTGAATCTTTTATCTAAAACTGCTATATATATATTACTTAAAACTGGAAACATAAGCAACTTCCCTGCTTACTCTTTAACGTGAGAAGCAGTTTCTAAATGCTCTGTTTGATCTTTAACTCTGTAAGCACTTCAACAAATTACCTGTTTACTCCTTGTTTGATCTTTAACTTTGTAAGCACTTCAACAAAATACCTGTTTACTCCATGTTTGATCTTTAACTCTGTAAGCACTTCAACAAAATACCTGCTTACTCCATGTTTGATCTTTAACTTTGTAAGCACTTCAACAAAATACCTGTTTACTCCATGTTTGATCTTTAACTCTGTAAGCACTTCAACAAATTACCTGTTTACTCCATGTTTGATCTTTAACTCTGTAAGCACTTCAACAAATCACCTGTTTACTCCATGTTTGATCTTTAACTCTGTAGGCACTTCAACAAATTACCTGTTTACTCCTTGTTTGATCTTTAACTCTTTAAGCACTTCAACAAATTACCTGTTTACTCCTTAACCGTACCATGCATGAGAGGAAATGTGAAATTTTTAGATTGAAAAAAGTTTTGTCTTTTTTAAGACCCTGAAATAATTTTTACCTGTGCTTTACAACGTTTAGAGGAGTCCTACAAACGTGACATGGAATGAGGTTTTGTTACTTTACGCTAAGTATAACATTTCGACCTATAAACCTGAACCTGGAATGAAGATTTGCGTTGAAAATTCGGATAATATTTATCAAATCTGTACTAAGGTTATAAGAATAACTTGTATTTATGATGTAAGTAGGTTTCTGTGTTATTTTTATTACTCCAATGGAAAAGATTCGTTGGTGGACGGCTGTATTCCAATGAAATTGTCCGTCTGTCCTTCTTTTAAACATTTATCTTCCTAACGATAACTAGAGTTTAGACGAAAATATTTCAATAATACTTCTCACACACACACACACACACACACACACACACACACACACACACACACACACACACACACACACACACACAGAG